AAAAATTTTTACATGTTGGTAAAATATGGAAAAATTGAAATATAAAACATTTAAAGTGAAAGTCTCTGCTTCTGTTCTCTAACAACTACTGTTGTAAAAAAGCCTTTAGTTTTCACTCATATTTGACAATGACCATTATTAATGACAATATGCAACCATATAATGTACAATATTTTATAATTTGCCTTATTTACTTAATATTTAGACTCTTTCTTTTTTTTAAATTTTTTTTCTTTCTTCCTCCTTTAACGATTCTCTTGCCCTCTTGCCCACCATGTAGCTGAGATTACAGGCGCTTGCCACAATGTCTGGCTTTTTTTTTTTTTTGTAGCGACCGGGTCTCACTCTGTCTCACTTTGCCTCATGCTGGTCTTCCGCTAGTCTTGAACTCGGCTGAGCTTAGGCAATTCACCTGCCTTGGCCTCCCACAGCACTGGGACAACAGGCATGAGCCACCACGCCTGGCCTAGATCCTTTCCATCTTAATACAAGTTCACAAAATTCTTTATCCTACCTGTTGGGGATAGTTGCACTGTGGAATTGAAAATTTTTTAGATTTTTTTTTTTTCAAGACAGAGTCTCACTTTGTCACTCAGGCTAGAGTGCTGTGGCTTCAGCCTACCTCACAACAACCTTGAACTCCTAGTCTCAAGCCATCTTCCTGCCTCAGCTTCCCCTGTAGCTGGAACTACAGTCATCCCTTCACACTGGCTAATTTTTTCTATTTTTGGTAGAGATCGGGTCTTGCTTTGCTCAGGCTGTTCTTAAACTCCTAAGCTCACAAGAACCTCCTGCCTCAGCTTCCCAGAGTGCTAAGATTATAGGAGTGAACTGCTGGGCCTGGCCTTAGATTTTTAAAAGTTACATAACATTCCAAATAGGATTTGAGGTAGAGTCCTATAATTAAACCAATTAATGTATCTGTGATGGATTGCATGGATGTATGGGTTGTTTTGCAGGTTAGTTCAAGTTGGCTAGCAAATGAATTGCACACATTATTTTTAAAGCTTTTTAGGTTCCCTTATGCATAAGGGATACAGATCTGCTTTATATCTACCTATCTACCTAATTACATAACTACCTACCTCAGGTCAAGCCCCTTCCCCTCTTTGTTTCAGAGCTAGGAAATATATTGGCATATGTTTTTAGCATTGTTTTAGAACAATGAGCAGCACTTCATTGAATATTATTTTTATTATGGAGCTAATAAAACAGATGCAGTTAAAGCCTATTCAGTTACATTAGAAGATGATCGAGATTTATTGTGATATGAAAAAGGCAGTTGAGATAGTTTTGGTGCTTCCTGAAAATTTCCTAAAACTTCTGAGGGAACTAGAAGGAATCTCGTGATCAGGGTAAAGGAGAACATTTTCTTTTCTTTTCTTTTTTTTTTTTT